TTGAACATGCGCCCTCCAGGAGAGATGTAACTGCCTGAAGGTTAAAATTGGTCTAAATTCTTCTACTTTTCTCATTTAGTCAGGGTCAGATTCTGAGCTAAACCAACCTGTCCTGTAACATTTTGCACTCCGAAGATGTCCAATGTAGACACACTTACACTCAAACTATTCAGAAGAGCTTGTAACTTGCATGAATCTTCACTCAACAGTACAGACAACTTGCCACTTGGGAGTAAATCGATGCCTTTATGCTTGAATGAGGACAGACCTTTACAGAATCCTACATATTGCAAAGTTGAACGGAAAAAGAGAGACAAGAACCCTGAAGAACATTGCTTTCCGGGGTGAACTCAGGACAAAGAGAACAGCAAGCTTGAACCCAGCTCGGGCTGGTCGTATAAAGGAAGCGCAATACTGAAATAAACTTCCCTGACACAAATGAAAGAAAAGCTGCGTCAAAGTAACTAGGGGGTGGACTGGGTAGAACACCTACCGAGCTAACTGTACAATTGTGGAATTCGATATAGTATAAATGACTACCACGATTGATTTATAACTAAACTGTTGGATAAATAACTAAAAGTTCATACCATCCAAAATTTTCTTCACTTCCAGATGTTCGCTTCGCTTAGTTGACTTAGTCTTTGCGCCTTCGGGACGTTTTTCTTCTATTTTGACACCAGCGGGCACTAAAAAACCGGCAATCAGTTGATCCGAGAACAAATTCACCCCGTCAGAAGGAGCATCTTCCGTATCCATGTCCACGTCTGACGAACTTTCTTCGGATGGTGAACTTCCGCTTTTCTCTTGATTTTCATGTACATTGTCAACCCCTCCCGTCGCATTCTCGTCCTCGTCAGAATCCAGATTTTCCGGCAGCAAATATGGTGTGTCACCCAGGATGCGAACCCGATGGGCCGTGGCTAACTGTTCATCCAAAGCACCCACGTCATTCAAAGCTGTGTGCATCTCATCAAGTGCGGCACTAGATACTGGTCGGAATTGACTGGCCGATTTACTTCGAGACTTATCACTCGTCAAATAGTGACTACCACCCAGATCGATGTAGGTAGCATCACGATCGAAGAGCACACCACCCAAACTTGACATGGGTGCATATATCTGTTGACAAGATAGTTCATCACACAAAAAGAAAGTAAGGGGTAAACGTAAGTAAGAAAGTAAAAATAAATACGTGATAGGCTTAAATATAAACTTCCGTTCGTCAGAAAAGCGCTGCCATGTACTCATTTCATGATGATTCCACTGATAACAATGGGTTGACCGTACTTTAGGTATTAATATCAGCACAACTGCCTAAATAGGAATAAACGGTTATGCGAAAGCCGTTCAACAGCTAATACTTCTTACTTCCAGATGCACGCAAGGTCAAGTCGGCTTCATAAGGAAATCGACGAAGAATCTTGGTGACGGGTAGGATTCATACGTCACCTGACTTTCTATGAAGTTTCTGGCTTCTTGCTGCAGCGATCGCTTCTGGGGCAAAACCTCGGGAAGTGCCACCGATCGGTTAACTGTTGAACAAAAGGGGAGTTTTTATCCCATCCGCAACCTGGACACGTGCTCGGTCCCGTACAGCTTAGCTTATTGAAAGAATTAAGCAGACTACTAAAACACTGCTAATACTGGACAACAATTAACACAGCTAGACGAGATCTTTGACTAGCTTGTTTGTTGTTTTCATCCTACCTGACCAAACAAAAATCTATCATACAGACAAGTCGATCGAACCAGGAACATCATGATAAACCATTTACAAACAGATGCATTGTGCACAGAAGATAATAAACTCAAGAACATGACAGTGAAACCCATTGGTTCTGAGAAGCTTGTCAATAATCATCTATCCGTTGCCCCGAACCTGGAAAGGTATATAGATTTCGCACATATCTGAGGACAGACTTTATGCCAAACAAATCACAATACTAGTCTCTAGGAGAAGAAAAGACTGTGATTTGCATGTGTGCGAGATACTGCCAGGTTGACCAGGACAAAGCAGATGAATTTTCTCGGAGAATTCACAACCAGAGCATTTGGCTAGTCGAAGCCTGATCCGCAAGACAGCGGGACGGCGTGAAAACCGTAACCCACTGGAAAAGAGTGCAAAGTTCATTGGGATGGGTTCGAATGTCCCTGTTCGAATGCCCAATACGCCTCGATACCCGGTCGACCCGGTGACCAGTGACAACCAGGAAGAGGTGTGTATGTGTGTGTGTGTGTGTGTGGTTTGTAAGCCTTCTCTTGGTTGGGTTGGAATTACGGTTTTTAGCCACCCCCCACCCCCAAGTTGAATTGTCAATGGTTCTCCGACTGGATTACAGCTTGGGATATCGGCTTTTCTTCCCCTCACTTTGGCGGGAAAACCCCGCTACGAGCAAGCACTGAGTAGGGCTTTCTCAGCAGAGACTGTTTGAGACGCTCAGTCATACAATAGCATTGCGCGAGGTGTAAGAGAAAGGTAACCAGTCACGACTTGAGACAGCCATCCCCGACTACACTCAATCATAATCATCGTTGTATTGTGTAATACAGTAAAGCGAACTTCACTGATAGCTAGCCAACTATGACGAAATTGAACAGGAATGGCGAAAGAGGGCACCCTTGACGAACGCCGCTGCTATTTACGAACGACCTACTCAGCTCGCCGTAGACACTTACGCCACCAGAGGTATGTGATTAGGGTGAACTCAATATGTTCACATACTTCTGCGGCACTCCTTTGTGAAGGAGTGAACCCATAAGGGATTCACCATCAACTGAGTCGAAGGCTCCTTTTAAGGTCAAGGAACACAACAACCGTTGGTCGACGCTGCGTATGGCGTAGCTCGAGGACTTGACGCAGAGTGAAGATTTGGTCGACACAACTGCGACCTGGTCGCAATCCTGCTTGTTGTTCGCGGATGTTTGTCTCCCTAAACGGTGTCAGACGTCGAAGTATGATGGAGGCTAGTAACTTGATGACAATTTGAATCACGCTTATTCAACGGTGGTTTGCGCAGTCGTTGCGAGATCCCTTCTTAAAAATTCGAACGATCAGTGATTCGCTCCAGGATGATGGAATGCGCTCGTGTGACCAGATGTTACGCATCCGTTATATCAGTAATGGAGTCTACGAGGTCATCGCCCCGCAGCTTGAAAAGAGTGGGAGGAAGCCCGTCCGGTCCTGCTGCTTTTCCTTTCTTCAGGGCTTGGATGCAAGAACGAACTTCTGCTTCAGTATGAGGTTCGGATGACACTGCCCACGCAGCCTCAGCTACATCGGAGGAGATAGCCTGGTTAGCGCCTGGCCAGCTGAACTGTTCGTTGAAGTATTCCACCCACCGGTCAAGCCGTTGTTCCCTACTGAGAATAGCTTGTCCACTTTTGTCGCAGATTGTTTCACTAACTGTGGTTCGCTGACCTCTCGTTTTGCGTATCAGTTGGAACAGTCCTTCACTATTCCCTGATGCAGCTGCTACTTCCACTTCACTAGCTATCGTTGCCCACCAGTTCTCACGGTCTTTCCTGAGGCTCCTCCTGAGTTGACGTTATAGACGCCACCTAACCCTGCCTTGATTCCGGGTGGTTGGGATTTGCCGCTTTTTCTCCATGATTGCTACTGACTCATCAGATATCCAATGCCTCGGGCGGGCTACTGCTTGAGATCCACAAGCAACGTTCGCTGCGGAGTGCATTGCTCGGCTAATCTGATCCTATTATTCATTCACACTACCACCTCGCAGCGCAGTTAGCTCTTGCCCTAGTTCTGATTCAAAACGGGCACGAACGGCCGAGTCAGATAAGCGATGATCTGCCAATCAAGTTTGGTGGGATTTTCTGCGACCAGTGAGTTGAAGAGTGAACTGCATTAAAACTAATGCATGATCAGATTCAACGCAGGTGGTCCAACAGGACCTGCAGTTTTCTACTGAACCACGCCAACGGTAGCTTACTGCTATGTGGTCGATCTGAGTTAGCGTACCAGTTGAATTTGAGCTCCACGTTGCTGTCCGTTGAGAGCTGTGTCGGAATTTGGTGCTGGATAGCAACAGGTGATGGTCTACGCAGAACTGTAGAAGTCCATCGCCATTATCTGTTCGCTGGCAGGGTAGAGTCCAATGACCGCCTAGGCAAGCTTCCGGTGCGCTCAGTTTTCCAACTTGAGCGTTAAAGTCACCTGTGAGAACAACTATATCGGAGCTTCGGCTCAACCGAGTTCGGTGAGTTTACCATCAAACTCGTCCTTTTGTGCGTCAGAACTGCAGTTGGTCGGTGCACACGCTGAAATGACGAATAAACACCTTTTGGTGTTGCTTCCTACCCGAACGCTGATAGACCCTCGGAGCCGCATCGCACATAAGCGGCTGTTGAAGAGGATCCAATCGAGTAGCGCGGCTTTGGCTGTATTATTCAGTACAATGCCCACACCATGCTGGCCTACTGAACGGGCTTCGGCATCACCTGACGTGCGGAGGAAGAACCTCGAAGACAATCCCGGTGCACTTAAGTGGCATATAGTAGTAGGATCCTGGATCCGAGTCTCCGACACGCAGCAGACATCAATCCCCAAAGGGTTCATTGTACGCCCTAGAAACGCTTTTTCGTCTGTCTGCATCAGATTTCTCATGTTGAAGGGCCCCAGATTTAGTGTTTGACGAGGCTTCGGAATCTGTACTCTATTTTGTGGTAAACTACTCATCGGTCTATTTGGTGACTAACTTGAAGTAACGTCGACTGGGACCGAGCGTGACGCGCTCCAGAACGGGAATTCCCAGCCCGCAGCGAAACCAAGTTACAGCTGGTTAAACCAGAAGACTTGTGGTTTTAGACGTTGATTGAGGTCTCGTGGCATGGAGAAAGTACCGGTACCGGCTAACGAACGTTTGCGTTAAAGCCTCTACCATTTTACCGACTGGGACACTGAAACTCGAGTCGAACCCCCAACCTGGAGGACCAGGAGACTGAACTTCGTCTGACCTCTACCCATTGACCTTCCAGGCATGATTAGATCTGCGGCTTGACAAAAGCCATCCCCTATAGCTCGTTGGGTCAGAGAGGTGCACAAGCCATCACACCACCTCAAGGTGCAGTCTCGTCGTGATGGACTACATTGTGGGTTTCGGAGGCACCTGAAACGATAGCACAGCACCTCAACATTTGCTTTTTAGCTTTAACAAATGAACTTATTTGTGCACACTATGAAATTGATGCAAGAATGTTTCTGTCATCAGCGGGGAAAGTACTACCTGTGTTAATGCAACTATGTCAAAATGGTGCACATGAAGCAAGTTTGTTGGCAAAAAACTTGCCTTTCTATCGCGTTCTGCCAAATGACGAGATGGTTTACCCTGAGCCGTATTTTGTGCGATTTGAGACGGGAGGGGACATGGATCAGGTTGGCGCATGCAATCTGCCACCGTGAAATCACCAACACCAGCAATGTGTATTCCGGGAGAAGTTAATGCAGGTGGTAATGGGGCGCCACGAACCCAACCGTACATGCTAACAGTGCGATCAGTTGTGGGTGACTCGGACAGGGCACTGGGATCAGTTATGTCCTCCAGTCGATCGATTAGGAGATATGGATGTGACGTACGCCAATCGGTCGAATGTGGTATTTTTACGACCAGCATACGGGCTAGTCGTCTTACTTCAGCAAGGAGGTATTCTCCAGGTTTGCTATATTCACCGGACGGTTTCTCGTCGTGCTTGACATCTGCAATAAAGTTAAGCGAGAGAAGGGTTAAACAGTATGACATGGACTGCATTCAATCAAATTAGGAGTGCGAGCAATCAGATATACGTATGGGAGATTTGAGAGGGAACATTGAAAGTTAAAATTGACACGCTTGAAATTATATGTTGCTTAGTTAAAAGCTGGAATTCATTTATATTTACAGGACTGATGCATCAAAAGGAGCCATAAGGTTTCAGACCCGGACACTTTGGTGATAGGCAGCTTTGCTCCAAAAGAAGCCAACATCATTGGGGCACCAAATGGTCTATTATTCTAATCCATGGGATTTATGTTGTCGGTTCTAATAGCGCGGCCGTACATTTCAAGTTTCTACAACCACCAACTTTGCATTGCCGTGTGATGGTTTTGGTTGCTATCATTCGGTAACCCGTTGGGTTCCTTCACAAGCAGATCGAAGAGCTCAAGGTATATTATCGAAATAAAAATACAGAAGACAGGCGAGTACGATCCGTGTAGAAATTGAGTAAACGCAGGAGCGCTCTCGTTTTCTTATTACGCACGTCAGCGTGAGGAACAGCAGACGGGGTAAACCCAGTGGTCACGGGGATCTGCTGTTCAGTCATGAAAACCGGTAAACTAAGCCCCGGGACTTCGAGTAGTGAACCACATACGGTCTGGCTAGGTTAGGTGTAGCACAGAACTGGACGACAGTAGCTATCTACAACCATGGCACTTCGATGTAAGTGTTCATAGTCAGAAATTAGGTGGGTCACGAGGTACCAAATCTGCAAGCTGAACGTGATTCATGTAACCGAAAACCCTCGTTGGGGTTGTTATATTCACATGCTATTCAGACCACTCCACCTTTCACCCATCACCTGACTCGGCAAACATCGCAGGCAGAGATAGCCTATCCTATTCACATGCGTAACACATGCCCCAGCCATTCTAATATATATGGAGGTCAAGCAGCTGCTCCACGATGATCTGCAAAAGTGTATCTGACCCCATATTAATTTGCCCGCTGTTCCACCAGACTTGAGAAGTACGACACCAATAGCATATCTCCATCCTGCTACTGTAACAGACAAATCTCTGCTAAACAGGCACCGGCTAGACAGTGGCAGCATCCGCTGGATGCCTAAAGAAGTCAGTGCTCTAAAAAATGCGTTATTTGGCCCACAATATGCGTGCCCAAACCTCATCTGAGATTCGTCCGCCAGGTGAGGTATTGATGCCCGAATAGAAAAATTTCCCTGGTTGCTATTGCCTCTCCAGTTAAATGAAGTGCGATTGGAATTAGGACCTACTTGATCCTGTAACAGCATTGTACATTTTGAAGGTGCAAAACGGATGTTGAACATTGCTACATTAACATCCAAACCATCCAGAAAAGCTTACAACTCAACTGGATCCTTACTTAACAGTACACTCTTGAGGATATAGGGTTTAACATTGAGATACAACAAACTCTTTTATCAAACAATTAAGGTGATTTATAGTAAAAAGGATTAACCCCGAAACCTCAATACATATTGTAAAACGATGATGACTGAGTAATAAAAACATTAAAACTTACGTTTCTTAGGTACAAATCGCGTTAGGAGAAAAATTTTTGAGTTCAAATCAACCCATAAGCGTTGCTTGATTTTCTTTCGCATTGCTCGTGACGAACTGGAATCTTTGAATGTGTCCAAGTGGTTTAGCACAGGGATAATACGAGGCATTCCATGAACTTGAATCATGTTGATGAACTCAAAGTGATACAGCTCCAAGCCTATTCGCACATTGACCATTAGAAGTACAATGTCTGCTATTTTGGCAGCATCCAGCATGCTATTGATATCACAACCACATTCGATAAAAGTCAAACGCATCTTCTTTCCAACTACCACAGTTAAAGGTCCGTTCACAACATTTATAGATTGTCTGGCAAAGTGCTTTATCAAACTTTTCAGCAGAGTCGTTTTTCCACTTTGAGGAGGACCCACTAGTGCGACAACCATTGGTGGGGGAGCATCGGCAACATGTTCCGCCTGAGGAAGATGATATTTTCTGGTTTGATAATCTAGTGTCCGTTGAACCAAGCGAGCAGCTTTTGTAGTGTGCTGAACTGCGAAAGCTTTTGGGTTGTTCTGTTGTTGTTGTTCTTTCGTCTCTGATTTTGATGCTTTTTTGTCCGCCTTTGGCCCACTCTGACGGGCCCGGTGTTTTTTCTTTGTATCCTCTGATGCGTCGGGCTCATTATGGACCCCCATCCATAGAATTTCACAACTGAAAGCAGAAAATTAATCCCATAAAACTTGTGCATATGAAAGATAAGATTTGGAACCCAGTAAGAACATCGACTTTTGTCACCAGAATTTTATGGTTCAACAAAAATAAGGGGTTAAAACGGAACTGGCAGAGGAAGCGGTCTCCGAGTGACAGGAAAAGCCATTAATGACGCAAGTAGAATCATTACCTCAGTTGAATACTGTTACCTTGCAACAGTGTTTCATCACGGGGAACAGGACTATATAAACCTCAGGAGCCAGTTAATCTTGAGCCAAACAGAACACAAGCGATGCAGGATATAAGAATAAACACTATATCTCACACTCGTCGCAGTTCAAACAGTGATAAACAAATCACGAACAATTTTTTCCACGACTGAAAAGGTACAAGACGAATATATATATATATA